TGGGATGGACTGGGACCCTCCCAGTAACTCCCAGTTAACCAGACTGGGTAGGTTGCAAAACATGGAGTGGATTTCAATACATTTGGGTGAATTTGGGTGGATTTGGACTCTCCCAGTGACTCCCAGTGCTCCCAGTTAACCGCAGACTGGGTGGATTCCAAAACACGGAGTGGATTTCGATGGATTTGGATGGATTTTGGTGAATTTGGGCCCTCCCAGTGCTCCCAGTTAACCAGATTGGGATGAACTGGGATGCACTGGGATGAACTGGGACCCTCCCAGTAACTCCCAGTGCTCCCAGTTAACCGCAGACTGGACGAATGGGTTGGTTGGATGGAATGCCTGGAGTGGATTTAGGTGGATTAGGATGAATTTGGGCTCTCAGGGCACTCCCAGTGCTCCCAGTTAAGCACAGACTGGGTAGATTCCAAAACCCGGAGTGGATTGCAATGGATTGGAATGAATTTTGATGAATTTGGGCCCTCCCAGTGCTCCCAGTTAACCAGATTGGGATGGACTGGGATGGACTGGGATGAACTGGGACCCTCCCAGTGACTCCCAGTGCTCCCAGTTAACCGCAGACTGGACGAATGGGCGGGTTGGATGGAATACGTGGAGTGGATTTGGGTGGATCAGGATGAATTTGGGCTCCCAGTTAACCACAAACCGGGCATGTTGGGATGCACTGGGATGGACTGGGACCCTCCCAGTAACTCCCAGTAACTCCCAGTTAACCCTAAACTGGGTAGATTCCAAAACGTGGGATGGATTTGGGTGGATCAGGATGAACTTGGGTGAATTTCGTTGCTCCCAGTTAACCACAAATGGGATGGGTTTGAATAACTGGGATGCACTGGGATGAACTGGGACCCTCCCAGTTACTCCCAGTGCTCCCAGTTAATCCTAAACTGGGTAGATTCCAAAACATGGATTGGATTTCAATGGATTTGGGTGAATTTGGGTGGATTTTATTGCTCCCAGTGCTCCCAGTTAACCACAAACCGGGCGGGTTTGAATAACTGGGATGGACTGGGATGGACTGGGACCCTCCCAGTAACTCCCAGTTAACCAGACTGGGTAGGTTGCAAAACATGGAGTGGATTTCAATACATTTGGGTGAATTTGAGTGGATTTGGACTCTCCCAGTGCTCCCAGTTAACCGCAAACCGGGTGAATTACGACCCATGGGATGCACTGGGATGCACTGGGACCCTCCCAGTAAGTCCCAGTGCTCCCAGTTAACCGCAGACTGGGTAGATTCCAAAACACGGAGTGGATTCCGATGGATTGGGATGAATTTTGGTGAATTTGGGCCCTCCCAGTGCTCCCAGTTAACCACAAACTGGGCAGATTGGGATGCACTGGGATGCTCCCAGCCCTCCCAGTGACTCCCAGTGCTCCCAGTTAACCGCAGACTGGACGAATTGGTGGGTTGGATGGAATACATGGAGTGGATTTGGGTGAATTTGATGGATTTGGGCCCTCCCAGTGCTCCCAGTGTACCAGAACCGGGGTAGATTATGACACATGGGATGCACTGGGATGGACTGGGACCCTCCCAGTGACTCCCAGTTCTCCCAGTTAACCGCAGGCTGGACGAATGGGTGGACCGGAACCGTCTGGCGCTCAGCAAGAGCCTGAAGGAGGCGGCGCAGAAAAGCTCGGAGCCGTTCCTGGGGGAGCTGGCGGAGCCCGAGCGCAAAATCACCCGCAACCAGAAACGCAAACACGACGAGATCAACCACGTCCAGAAGGTCTGGGACAAACTGGGATATACTGGGATAAACTGGGATGAACTGGGAGGGACTGGGAAGTGACTGGGAGTTGCTGGGATGGACTGGGACGGAGTTAGAGCAGATCGGAATGGAGTTAAAGGGGACTGGGATCGGTTTAAAGGGCACTGGGATGGGTTTGAGTGGGACTGGGATGGACTGGGGTGGGTTTAGGATGGACTGGGATGGGTTTGAGATGGACTGGGATATACTGGGATGGACTGGAAAGTGACTGGGAGTCGCTACGATGGACTGGAACGGAATTAGAGCGGATCGGAATGGAGTTAAAGGGGATTGGGATGGGTTTGAATGGGACTGGGATGGACTGGGATGGGTTTAGGATGGACTGGGATAAACTGGGGTGGAGTTAGAGGATACTGGGATATACTGGGATATACTGGGAGGGAGTGGGAAGTGACTGGGAGTCGCTACGATGGACTGGGACGGAGTTAGAGCGGATCGGAATGGAGTTAAAGGGGACTGGGATCGGTTTTAGGGGCACTGGGATGGGTTTAGGATGGACTGGGATGAACTGGGATGGGTTTAGGATGGACTGGGATGGGTTTGAGATGGACTGGGATATACTGGGATGGACTGGGAAGTGACTGGGAGTCGCTACGATGGACTGGAACGGAGTTAGAGCGGATCGGAATGGAGTTAAAAGGGACTGGGATGGCTTTGAATGGGACTGGGATGGACTGGGATGGGTTTAGGATGGACTGGGATAAACTGGGATGGAGTTCGAGGATACTGGGATGAAATGGGATGGACTGGGAACAGGCTGGAAGTGACTGGGAGTCTCTGGGATGAACTGGGACGGAGTTAGAGCGGATCGGAATGGAGTTAAAGGGGACTGGGATGGGTTTGAATGGTACTGGGATGGACTGGGATGGAGTTAGGATGAACTGGGATGGACTGGGATGGAGTTAGAGGACACTGGGATATACTGGGATATACTGGGATGGACTGGGAACAGGCTGGAAGTGACTGGGAGAAAATGGGATAAACCGGGACGGAGTTAGAGCGGATCGGAATGGAGTTAAAGGGGACTGGGATGGGTTTGAATGGGACTGGGATGGACTGGGATGGGTTTAGGATGGACTGGGATATACTGGGATGGAGTTGGAGGACACTGGGATATACTGGGATATACTGGGATGGACTGGGATGAACTGGGAACAGGCTGGAAGTGACTGGGAGAAAATGAGATAAACCGGGATGGAGTTAGAGCGGATCGGAATGGAGTTAAAGGGACTGGGATGGGTTTTAGGGGCACTGGGAGGGGTTTAGGATGGACTGGGATGGGTTTAGGATGCACTGGGATGGACTGGGATGGACTGGGAAGTGACTGGGATAGACTGGGATATACTGGGAGGGAGTGGGAAGTTACTGGGAGTCGCTACGATGGACTGGGATGGAGTTAGAGCGGATCGGAATGGAGTTAAAGGGACTGGGATGGCTTTGAATGGGACTGGGATGGACTGGGATGGATTTAGGATGGACTGCGATAAACTGGGATGGAGTTAGAGAACACTGGGATATACTGGGATGCACTGGGAGGGACTGGGAAGTTACTGGGAGTTGCTGGGATGAACTGGGACGGAGTTAGAGCGGATCGGAATGGAGTTAAAGGGGACTGGGATGGCTTTGAATGGGACTGGGATGGACTGGGATGGAGTTCGAGGATACTGGGATAAACTGGGATGGACTGGGATAAACTGGGATGCACTGGGATGGACTGGGAAGTGACTGGGATAAACCGGGACGGAGTTAGAGCGGATCGGAATGGAGTTAAAGGGAACTGGGAGGGGTTTGAATGGGACTGGGATGGACTGGGATGGGTTTAGGATGGACTGGGATGGAGTTAGAGGGCACTGGGATATACTGGGATATACTGGGATGGACTGGGATATACTGGGACGGACTGGGAAGTGACTGGGAGAAAATGGGATAAACCGGGACGGAGTTAGAGCGGATCGGAATGGAGTTAAAGGGACTGGGATCAGTTTAAAGGGCACTGGGATGGACTGGGATGGGTTTAGGATGGACTGGGATGGAGTTGGAGGACACTGGGATATGCTGGGATGGACTGGGATAAACTGGGAGGGACTGGGAACAGGCTGGAAGTGACTGGGAGAAAATGGGATAAACCGGGACGGAGTTAGAGCGGATCGGAATGGAGTTAAAGGGGACTGGGATTGGTTTTAGGGGCACTGGGATGGACTGGGATGGGTTTAGGATGGACTGGGATGGAGTTCGAGGATACTGGGATATACTGGGAT